CCCCCCGGCTCCGGCCTCCGCCCCCGGCCCGCCCCCGGTCCCACCCCCGCCGCGGCGGGCAGGAGCGTGCGGGCTGCGGGCTGGCACCGGGCCCACCCCGCCCCGCCCAGCACCGGCACCGGCACCGGCACCGGCACCGGTCCGGCCCATGGAGGCTCCGGGAGCGGGCGGTACCGAAGGTGAGCGGGGATGGGATGGGTTCGCTTGGAGGGGGGTGAGGGGAGCCCATCACCGCGATATCGGCCCGGGCAGGGCACGGGGGAATTTCGTAGGAGGGGGGTTTGGTGTGCAAGGTGTGTGTGTGTGTGTGCGCGTGCAGGGGGTGTGTCCAAGGGGGGGTGCATACGTGCACAACGGGAGCACGAAGGTGGCTGTGAGGTGGGGACATGGAGCGGGGCACATCTCACCCCCCTGCCCTTTCTGAAGCCCCCCCCACCCCGCCGAGCGGTTCAGCCGGGGTGGGAAGGCTGAGATGTGCCCCAGGGAGTCAGAGATATGGGGCTGCCACCTGCCTGCAGGCAGCGGTGTGACACTTGGGGACACTGGCGGTGGCCGTAATGCTGCACCCGGGGGTTCGTAGCGTCGCGGTGGTGTTCGAGTGGCATCGTGCGTCTCCTGCACACGCCCATCCCTCCTGCGTGTGCCCTGCGTGCGGCTGTGCCACCGCCGTGCTGACGGTCCAGGCCATGCCCTCCCACCTCACTAGGTCTTTGAGGTGGGTTGGGGACCCTGGTGGGGTGACCGAAGCCCCCCTTTGGGGTGACCGGAGCCCGCTGCTGTCTCACTCTGCGGTTGACGTGAGTCAGCAGCGCACTGAGCCCTGATGCTGGCCCTGCTCCTCGCCAGGAGACAGCCGGTGAGCCCGAGCGGAGCGGCACGGAGACGACATGCAGACGGGGGCCAGAGGGGATTGCTGCGGCAGGGACCAGCGCCCCGGTGGGTGGGGGCTCCGCTGGAGGGAGCAGGGACGGGATGATGGCGGGGGAAGGACGTGCTCTGGATGGTGGTTACCCACTCTGGGGATGAGGTTGGGGAAGGGAATGTGCATGGCTCTTCCTGGCCAAAGAGCAGGGTGGGGATCTGGTTTCCCAGATGGAGGATAGGTGGTGATAGTGATGGGTGTCCTGTCCTACCTTGCAGGGTTGAGACATGGTGTTGGGACAGTTGCATGGGCATTGTGCTGCTTCCTTGTCAAATGCCATTGCAATTTTCCTTTCCCTCTGCTGGTTCCTTTGGGCAGCAGGATTTCCGTCCTCTGCCCACCACAGTGTCAGCTGCCTGGGGGAAGGAGGTGATGCCCTGTCCCCTGTGAGCCTGTCCCAGTACCATCTCACCCACCATCTCACCTGGTGGCAGGGCCCAATGGTGTGTAGATGGGTTCAGCTGTGACACCAAGAGGACCAGGAGCCACAGTGCCTGGTGCTGCCGCTGCCCCCCCCCCCCCCCCCCTCCCCACACACACACAGGGTCTCTTGGCCCCACTCAGTGCCAGCTCAAGCCCTTGCTGTCCCTGAAGAGGGGCTTCCCAGGCACAGATCGTACTGCCTCTGACCAGCCCCGCCAGCTCTTTCCAGGAGACAAAACGCCCCTTGTCTGGGCTCCGGTCTCTGAACAGGCTGTGCTTTTGTCTCGCCGACACAAAGGGGCTGTGAGGGGCGGGGGGCTGCCGGCTGCGGGGAATGGGGCTGATGGGGCCCATGGCAGCTGCCCCAGGAAGCATCGCCTGTCCTGCAGGGGGCACAGGGCCAGGGAGCTGCTGCCCCCTCCACCGGGTAGCCCCAGGCACCCAGAGTGGTGGCATCAGGGCCACAGGAGGGAGCTGCCTTTGCTGCCCCAGCCCTGCACCTACACAGCAGGTGCCGGTTCTGCAGAGCTGGGCAAAGAGGCACTGGCCCCAGAGCGAACAGCAGGGACCCCCATCCCTGGGACAGCTGAAGAGACCACCGGTGCCCCCACGGAGGAACAGGGTGGCATCCCCATTCCCACTGCCAGCCTGCTGCAGGTCACCGAACGGAGACGTGAGTGCAGCCCCCACACCCCCACTGCCTTCCCCTGTGTTCCCTCTTGCCCCTGTGGTCCCTGCCTGGCTCCTGTTCACCCCAAGCCAGTCGCTGTCATCCCCCCCCCCCAGCAACCCCTTGTCCCTCCCTGGATCACTACCCAGCCCTCTCAGATCCCACGGGGCCCCCACCTCAGCACCAGGGACTCTGTCTGGCAGCTGCCCACCCGCAGTCCTGCTCCCCACAGAGCCACTGAGCAGCGTGTCCTCGCTGGAGGTGCACTTTGACCTGCTGGACCTCACAGAGCTGACCGACATGTCGGACCAGGAGCTGGCAGAGGTCTTTGCTGATTCTGACGAGGAGAACGTGGCCAGCGAGTCGCCTAGTGGTGAGTGAACGTCTGCCTGCACCCCACTCCACCACCGTGGCCAGGAAGCACAGGCTGAGCTGACTGTCCCCATAGGGCTGCACCCGCAGGCTATGCCACGGGCAGGGTACCTGCGCTCCCCCTCCTGGACCCGTGCACGCGAGCATGGCCGAGAGAAGAAGCACCTCAGTGACTCAGAGCTGCAACCAGGCACCCTGGACACCTTCCTGGCAGTGGAGCAGCCTCAGCAGGAGTAGGAGCTGCCTCGGCTGGTGGGGACAGACAGGGGGACACACAGAGATGTGTGCTTTGCCTTGTCTCCAGCTCTTTCTGACCACGTTCCCCACTCCCTGCCCCAGGAAAAGCCGTGCAGGACAAAGGACTCGCTATGGGACAAGTTGCGTGACCGGGTGTTGCTGTGGGGTGGCAGCTTCAGACCATGGGTACCAAGCAATGCCAAAGCTGGTGGCTCAGTGGGGAGGGGGAACCGGCCCCTTCGGCCCTGTAGCACAATGGGGGCTGCACTACCCGGCCCCCACCTCCTTTCCACCATGGTCCCAGCATGGCAGGACCAGGAGCTGTGCAGTGTCTGCACTGTACCACCCACCGCCATGTAGCAGTTGTGTGTACTGGTAAAACCAACCAACCCATGGCCACTGCTCTGCCCTGTGTCCATTGATGCAGGGAAGGGGGGATGCAACCCCTGTATGGGGTGGGGGCTGCCAGGAGCAGCGGGTTACAGGGAGGGGGGATGTGGGGAGCCTCTGCAGGAGCAGAACTGAGCATAGGGAAAGCTAGGAGGAGGGATGCGGGGAAGCTGGCACTGGGGCAGAGCCAGACCTCATCCATGAGAGCCCATCCCATTGCTTCCACAGTGCCCACCAAAGCTCCCTCAGCCCTACCCCCCTCTTCCAGGAGCAGCCCCAGGGCAGAATTGTGACTGCGGCGCTGTGCAAAGAGGCGACGCAGCTGCGACAGACCGGGCAAGTGTTGCAGGAGTGGTGTTGGGGGACAGCATGTGCAGTAGGGGCTCCCGCGAGCAGCAGTGAGCAATTGCAAAAGCAGAGGCAGTGGTGTGCCCCACCCCTGACGTAGTGTCACACACTAGCACTGCCCTTAAACCCCCCCCCCCAGCATCCCTCAGCCCCGGCCTTCAGTGTTCTAATGCGTCCCATAATGCAGGGGAGGAAGAAGAGATGCTTTCCCCCCAGACCGGCAGCATCCAACCAGGTAGTGTTCACCCAGAGCACATTTCTGCACGTGGTGGCTGCCGGCAGCCCCACCAGGGTAGGACCCCCCGGTTCTCCCGAAGACACCATGCCCAGCCCTTTGGGAGCACGTGGAAACCTCAGCCCCATAGAGGCACCCTCGCCCTTCCTGGAAGAGCCCGTTCCTCCGGCTCTGCCAGCATGCTCGCCCACATAATGTGGCTGCAGGTGGCAAAGTGCAGGACCCCCGCCCAGCACAAGTCCTGGCCCCACGTGAGTGGCAGAACTGAAGTTTGCAGGGCAGCCTTCGTGGCCATCTGTCCATCGCGGGGCCCCGGTGGCTGTGGAGATGGGCCCTCACTTAGGGCTCTGCCTCGGCCACAGAGTCCTGGAAGAGGGACTGCTTGCGCAGGCTCAGCCGGGCGCACTTGGGGCACGTGGTGGAGTTGTCGTAGTAGCAGTCCCTGTGGGAAAGGGATGCTCTGGGGAATGCTAGGAAGCACGAAGGTCCTGGAACCACCCGTCCCTCCCCCCTGCAGCACCCAAAGGGATGCAGGTGGCTCCAGACAAGGCACCCACCATACCTGTGGAAGACGGCAGAGCAGTCAGTGCACACTGAGGTGTGGCTGTCAAAGGGGAAAAGCACATCGCCCTCCTTGCAAAGCTCACACACAAAGCCTTTTGCTTGGCAACGCTGGGGTGAGAAAAAACAGATGAGCCCTTGGTACCTGGGTGCTGACAAGGACCTCCAGGTCTTCGCCAGTGCCCTCCTTATGGCTCCAGTCCAGATCTCAGTCCAGGCTGCCCTGCAGCACCGCCCCACTCACCTCACAGTCCAGCTTGATGTGCTTGGCAAAGAGGGTGTGGATCTCAGTTAGGGAGCAGCTCAGGCGCCCAGCCTCGATGTCAATGAGGTCCTGCAGCGAGTACATCTCGTCGTTCTCTACAAAGTGCTGTCGGTCCTGCAGCTGCATGGGCAGGCAGATGTCACTGGTGTGCCCACATGCCCACATACCCAGGGCCTCCCCCCTGCCCACCACTGGGCCTTACCTGCAGCAGCAGCCGTGCCTCCATTGCCTCCTTGCAGGTGATGAAGTATGGCTTCATGAGCAGGATGTCCTGGCGCAGTTTCTGTGGGGGCACCGGGGGCCGGGGATGCGATGGGAGTGGGGAGAGAGACAGGGAGAAGGGGGTGGCAGGGACAGGATGGAGACAGGGATGGGGATGAGACAGGTGTTGTGTGGGAATGGGATAGGATAAGATGGGCATTGGGTGAGGACAGTGCCAGGACAAAGCTGGCTCAGTCTCAGTCCTGCAGTTCAGGCACCCTCCCAGCTTATCCTTAATGACCACATGTCACCCTCCCACCAGCCTTGGGCCCCACCCATGGCCACACCATGCTCACCCGGATCTCCACCAGCTCCTCCACGTAGTTGAAGAGCAGAGGGTTGATCTCCCGCAGCTTCAGCACGGGCCGCGACACCATCAGCGCCAGGTACCGCATGCTGCAGCGGGACACCTGCACGTACACCACTGTCACACCGTGTGCAGGGCCAGCGGGGCCTTGCAGGGCACAGCTTGAGCCCTCTACCCCTGGCCCAATGGACCTGGCTCTGAGAGACCCCTCGCAAGTGTCTTCCAGCCAGCAACACAGTCCCCAGGGACCCCTGCCTTCAGACACAGCCTCCCAAGTGATCTCTGAGACCCCTGTGCCCCCCACCAGCACCACAGGCACCTTGCGGGGCTCGAAGTCCCAGTTGTGGATGGCACGGGCGGGGACGACAGCCAGGTCATTCCAGTGACAGCTGCTGCAGTAGTAGAGGCCGGTGTAGTCGCACTGTCGGGCCTCACTGGGCACCCCCCCTGCAGTGAGACACACATTGGTACCGGCACCCACACTGGCACAACCACCCCAAAAACATCCCCCGGCCCCAGTCTCCAGCTTCCCCCAGCTCCATGCACCTCCCAGATTCTCCCCCAGCCACAGCCCTCGGTGCCTTACTGAGGGCGATGGGGGCCCGGCACTCGGCACAGCGGTAGTCCTGGCTGTCCAGCCCGCTCTCAGGGCAGATGCTGAGCTGGTACTCGGCCTGGTGGCTCACCTTGGACCTGACGCAGGGTTTGGTGACCAGGGGCAGGCACTTGCTGTGGCACCGATAGTAGCACCCTGCGGGCAGGTGGTTGTCAGCTCAGGGCTGCGGGGAGATTGCAGGGGGGGTGTCAGTGCCCCCAACCCACCTGTGCAAGTATACCAGGTCTGGATGAGGCCCCAGATGATGGTGCTGCACTTGTCACACATTTGCTTGACGCTCTTGCTCTTCTCCTTGTAGAAGCGGTGCTCCAGCACCACACGGATGTTGGGTTCCTCTTCATCAGGGTCCTATGGGAGGGGGGAGGGGTCAACACAGCCTTCTGGACCCTCAGAGTTCTCCCAGGACCTTCACCTCCCTTCCAAGACATTCAGAGCCCCATTCCCTCAGGGTCTTCCCCTGAAACATCAGAACAACCCCAGGACCCTCAGATCCCTTCCCTGAAACCCTTGTCCCTATCCTCCTGCACCCTCAGCTCCCTGCCCCCAAAACCCCCCTCCCAACTCTCACAGTCCCCTCCATGACCTTCAGAGTTCTCCCAGGACGCTCAGATCCACACTCTTGGACTCTCATCCTCCACCCCAGGCCCCTCAGCCTCCCCCAGACCCTCCTCAGGACCCTCAGGGTCCTGACCTTCAGAACCCCTCCCTGGACCCTCAGTACCCTTCCCCATGACTTATCCCTCTCCACAACACCCCCCAGCATCCTTAGGGCTCCCCGCAGGTCCTTCAGAGCCCTTCCCAAGGACACTTCCCACCCAGGACCCCCGCAGGACCTTCAGAGCCCCCCCGTGACCCTCGGCGTTCAGCCCACCTTCAGGGCTGCCCCGGGACGCCCGCAGCCCCACCTGCAGCTCCTGCAGTTTGAGGCGGAGGTGGATGAGCCGCACCACCGCGTCCTTCTGCCGCTCCGAGTGTTCGGGCAGCGCCAGGATGGCGCGGCGGCACTCCTCGATGGCGCGGCGCAGCTGCTGCACGTCGGGCGCCAGGATCAGACCCTGCGGCGGGGGCGACCGGGAGGAGAACGGAGGGAAAACGGGAGGAGAACGGGAGGAAGATGAACCGCAGCCCCCGGCACCGCCGCTGCCCCCGGCCCTACCGCTCCCACTCACCACGGGCCGAGAGAAGTGGTCCTCCGCCAGGCCCAGGTCCATGGGCCGCTCCGAGCTCTCCCCGTCCGCCCGGCCCGGTTCGTGCCGCCGGGCCGCATCCAGCGGGGGAGCACCGGGAGGCAGCGGATCGTCCTCGCCCGCCCCGCCGCCGCCGCCACCACCGGGAGGCTCCGGGCCCTTGTTGAAGGGGTTGAGGTGCGCCTGCCGGAACCGCGCCAGCCTCTCGTCGTACGCCATCGCCCTGCGGGACGCGGCGCCGGCACCCCGCGGCACCGCCCGCACCGGCACCGGCACCGGGCCGCCGGGGGGCGGGGACAGCGCCGAGCCACGCCCACCGCTCGGCCCGCCTCTCCCTCCAGCGCCCCCTGGCGGCCGGCGGAGCGCGCAGCGCTGGGTGGGGCTGCGGACGGCCTCGGCTCCCATCGATCCCGTGCCGCCCCCCGCCTCGCAGCCCATTGTCTGTGCAGCACCGCGGTCCTGCAGCCCCCGCTACGCGCCCAGAGGGATGGGGGCCTCACCAGCCCCCAAAAGAGACCAAGGGAGCCGCTTTAGCACCGAAAAAGAAGCGGGGAAGCTTCCATAGTGGGGACCCGATATTGCTCAGGCTTTGTGTGTTGGGGTGTCCCTGGCTTCCTTAGAGCCTAACACGGCCCTGCACGGTCCAGGGACACTGCTGGGCCCGTATGAAGTGCTTGGGGCAGGAGACGGGGACAGAGCCCACATGGGAGGGGACACAGAAGAGCCTGGGGGGCTTTGCAGCAGTGCATGGGGTGGCACTCAGTATTACACGAGCAGAATTTGGGCATGGCCCCAGTGGGATCTCGTGGTCCCCAATTTCCCTTCCTTTATGGGTTTAAAAAGGGAATATTATGCCCTCCTCCTGCTGCCCCTTCACTCCCCCTCCCTGTATGAGCCCTCACACCCCTCATACCAGAAACCAGAGCCAGGAGTAACCGGACAGCCATAAATTTATTGAGTATTCAAAAAAAACATGAGACACAAACAGTAAAAAACGAAAAAAGGGGAAAGGGGGAGGCCATAGGGAGGGGGCACAGGAAGGGTTGAGCTAACGTGGGGCTGAGGGGAGCAGACACCAAGGGGTGAGGCCAGGGCCCCCCCAAAGCAGCGAGTGCGGGGCCATCACTTGGCGCCCTGTGCCTCCGACTCCTCCTCATCATCCTCGTACATCTCGCCCTCCTCCTCGGCCGTGGCATCCTGGTACTGCTGGTACTCTGACACCAGGTCGTTCATGTTGCTCTCAGCCTCGGTGAACTCCATCTCGTCCATTCCCTCCCCCGTGTACCAATGCAGGAAGGCCTTGCGGCGGAACATGGCGGTGAACTGCTCCGAGATGCGCTTGAAGAGCTCCTGGATGGCCGTGCTGTTGCCGATGAAGGTGGAGGACATCTTGAGGCCGCGGGGTGGGATGTCACACACTGCAACTTTGACGTTGTTGGGGATCCACTCCACGAAGTAGGAGCTGTTCTTGCTCTGGATGGCCAGCATCTGCTCGTCCACCTCCTTCATGGACATACGGCCGCGGAAGACAGTGGCCACGGTGAGGTAGCGGCCGTGGCGCGGATCGCAAGCAGCCATCATGTTCTTGGCATCAAACATCTGCTGGGTGAGCTCAGGGACGGTGAGGGCGCGGTACTGCTGGCTGCCACGTGCTGTCAGCGGGGCAAAGCCAGGCATGAAGAAGTGAAGGCGTGGGAAGGGCACCATATTGACAGCCAGCTTGCGCAGGTCAGCATTGAGCTGCCCGGGGAAGCGCAGCGAGGTGGTGACGCCGCTCATGGTGGCCGAGACGAGGTGGTTGAGGTCTCCATAGGTGGGGGTGGCCAACTTGAGTGTGCGGAAGCAGATGTCATATAGTGCCTCGTTGTCGATGCAGTAGGTCTCATCCGTGTTCTCCACCAGTTGATGGATGGAGAGCGTGGCGTTGTAGGGTTCCACCACCGTATCTGACACCTTGGGGGATGGCACCACGCTGAAAGTGTTCATGATGCGGTCGGGATACTCCTCACGCACCTTGCTGATCAGCAGCGTGCCCATGCCTGAGCCCGTGCCCCCACCCAGGGAGTGGGTCAGCTGGAAGCCCTGCAGGCAGTCGCAGTTCTCACACTCCTTTCGCACCACGTCCAGCACCGAGTCCACCAGCTCAGCCCCCTCCGTGTAGTGCCCCTTGGCCCAGTTGTTGCCAGCCCCGCTTTGACCTGGGGATGGGGACACACAAAGGGTGCATTGGGCACAGGGCACGGTGCCAGGATTTGGGGTTGGGTTGGGGCTGCAAGGATGCGCCTGCAGGCAGCCCCAGGGGTGTCCCCTCCCCGTGTGGGGTGTGGTCACCTACCGAAAATGAAGTTGTCGGGGCGGAAGAGGTGCCCAAAGGCACCTGAGCGCACGCTGTCCATTGTGCCCGGCTCCAGATCCACCAGGATGGCGCGAGGCACGTACTTGTGAGCTGCAGAGAGACCGCATGGCGTGCCAGAGGGAACAGCCACCACCCAACCCACCCAACCACCACGGGGGAGGGGGCACACATCTGTGCCCCAAAACACAGGGACCCCTGAGGCTGGGTCCTTTCACTGTGTCCTCTCCTCCTCTAAACAAAGGAGTTCTCATTGGGTTCAATGGCAATTTCCACTTCCCCCTTCCCACCCCCCAAACTACAGAGTCCCATGGGGTTGGTCCATCCATTTCATGTCCCCACATCCCTCTCAAAACAAACAAACAAAAAAACAACACACCCCTACAGAGCCTCATGGGCTCTATACACATACCCCAGAGCACAGCACACTAATGTTTCCCTCCCTTTTGTCCCCACAACATAGGATCCCCATGGGGCTGGGTGCATCCCCTCCCCACCCTCAAAACCATTGGTTCCCATGGGACTGAGGGCAGGCGTCTGTCCCAGCGTGGACCGTGGCCGCGGGAGGGATTGTGGGGACATGAAGTGGCAGGGTTCGTGCAGGGGGAGGGGGGGGTGCAACTTACAGGAGGCCTCATTGTAGTAGACGCTGATTCGCTCCAGCTGCAGGTCGGAGTCGCCCACGTAGTTGCCGCTGGGGTCTATGCCATGCTCA